AAAAGTATTTTTATATTCGAAAATTATTTCCCGACCTACAATTTGAAATCTATCAAAGAGCGATATTGTAATTCTCGATATATCGAATCGATTTCAAGTCGACTTCTTTTTCAGCTGTTTATCGAAAGAGTACATATGGCAAATTTTTGACGGTGTTGTTACAGCCACAGATTAATAGACAGATCGCCAAAGGCCTGCCTAAAGAAGAGACCGCCATCTTCGTGCGATAGACTTTGCCCCTTACCGACACACTTTGCCCCTGGTTCGAGTCCGTGCTAAATTCGTAGACTTGAACCAAAAGACTTTGCCCCTGGTTCGAGTCCGTGCTAAATTTCGTAGACTCGACCAAAAGACTTTGCCCCTGGTGCAAGTCCAGGCTAAATTCGTTTGACATTACCAACAGACTTTGCCCCTGGTGCGAATCCAGGCTAATTGATCATGAGACCAATTTGAGAGATTTGGCCCCCGTTGTGTGTGTGTGTGTGTGTGAGAGAGAGAGAGAGAGAGAGAGAGAGAGAGAATATTTTACATATATGCATATATATATATAAAATTTATTAAATATAAAAAATATATTTTTTACACATAAAATGTTTTTTTATTGAAATAATCACGATTTTAAATGTGATATAACACAGTGTTCAAAAATTTTTTAATTAAATTTTTTAATTAAATTTTATTAAAGAAAATTACTTGAAATTTTTTACATTAAGAATTTAAAGGCTCCTTATTCTCTTGTAGAAATTTATCACTACGCCAATTAATCACTTATTTCGAGTATTTAAAATACTATAATATACAGTAATTTAAGTATTCGAAATAAAAGTGATTAATTACTCGAAATAAGTGATAAATTGGCGTTACTAGTAATAAATTTCTATAAGGGTTGAAATAAAGTATAAGAGATAAATAGGCTATATGTGAGCTGTATGCGAAATGTGAGATGTAAGACGCATATTGAAATTTAATTTTTCGATATAACTTTCAAAAATGTACACGAGGTACAAAAAATTAGCTTGGACATTTGTAAGACTTAAAATTGGGATTAATTCTCAATTCTATTAATTAAATTTCGATATAACACACCTTACATCCGCGCACGGCTCACATATATATAGCCCATTTATTAGTGCAATTTTTAAGTTCCTTATTTTTCAAAGTTCACCTTTTTACGTTATCAAATATTTTTACGTTTTCAAGAATTTTATATTTTTACTTACCGCAGTTTCTTATCCAAATGTAAAATCTTTTATCGCAGTCTATAAAAAATTGAAACAATTTACAATTTTATGATATAATATTATTATTATTACAATTTCTATATATATGCACATCTGTCAAATATCGTGATTTATTTCACATTATTATTATCTATTTTAATAAAAAAAAAAACAAAAACACTTGCAACAATCAAAAATAAACCGCCTGCCGCGAACGGAAAATGCCAAGAAAGCACGCAATTTCCGCGAATCTCGTAATTTTTTTGAAAAATCAACAATTTCAACGAAATTGTAAATTCTTCAAATCACTGCACAAGTATAATTCACAATAATAATTTTCAGTAACTACGATAAAAAATCGTATACTGAAAACCGCAAACGAAAGTGCAATGGGAGTAAGAGTAAAGTCTGTGATAAAATTAATTGGCAATAGAAAATTAATAATTTTCAAATAGAAAAATTTTGAAATTACCGAGGATTTACAAATAATAAAGTAAAAATATTAAATAATTTATGTTTTCGAATTTTGCTCGCGGAGAGGATCTTTAAAACAAGATTTTTAGAAGAGAGGACCTTTAAAATATAAACAGGCAAAAACGTTGGAAAAATTAAAGCGCGCGTTTAAACAGATAAACGCAATGAAATAAATACGCAATTGTTTTTACTTATCGCTGTAAGCTCACAAGCTTCTGACGTGCTATACACTTTTATATAATATATACAAGGTGTCCGGTAACTAACGGACCAATGATTAAGGGCGGATTCTCTGGCCAATTTGGAGACGATTTTTCCTTAGCAAAAATGTTGAGAAGTCAATAATTTTCGAGTTATAAGCGATTGAAAAAAATAGGTTTTTTGAAAACTAAACGTTTTGGAGTTAAAAGTCTAACATAATTACATTCTTCAGTTAATTTCAGGTAGAGTTTACTATAATAAAATTTTAATTTAAGGCTTAGTTATAAAGATACATAATGACAAAGATTGGAAAGTTGTAAAAAATGATGACCTTTTTCGACATTTTCGCTGAGGAAAAATCGTTCCCAAATTGACCAAAGAATCCATTTGTAATCATTGGTCTGTTAGTTACCGGACACCCTGTATATTGGACACGAGTTTCGTTTGTTTCAGATTCTCGAGAGTTGAAGTAGGAACATACGAGTATCATATATCGTTTGTGACTTGCCGAATGAAAGCAAGACAGAGAGCGAACGAGATGATGAGCTTAATAGCTCATAATGTTATAAATAAATAAATAAAAAATTATAACCTGACCTACTAGTTATTGAATCTTTTTTTAATAAAATGTTTCATTATTATTATCATCTAAGTCTAAGTCGTTTAATTACTTTTTAGTTTTTTAATAATTAATTTAATTTATTCTAGTCATTTTTATATGAGAAAAATAATATCACGTATACGTTTTATAATGAATTAATATATTTCGGGAACCGAATTATATATTCTTAATAATATAAAAGTGTTCAAAAATTATATTTGACTTTTAATTTTAATTATTTTATAGCAAAGAGTTCCGAAATCTCTTACACACATAATGGGGATTTTTTTCATCCATATAATTCGCAATTAAGTATATATGTTAATTATTAATTTTAATAAAATAAAAATTAAAATTAAAGGTCAAATATAATTTTTAAACACAAATATATTAAATTAATTATAAAACGTATACCCATAATAGTATTTTTCTCGTACAAAAATAATTAGAGTAAATTAAATTAATCATAAAAGATTAAAAATTAATTAAAGAATTTAAACTTATATTTTATATAATAATAATAAAACATTTTATTACGTCAAACCGTCGTGAAATAATTAAATAAAATTTGCTAGTTACGTCAAAGTCAAGTTTTCTAAGCTTATACAACATTTTATTAAAAAACAGATTCAATAAATATAAGTACATGTTATATATATACTTATATTTAAATGATAATCCTTAAGAGTCGCCAGTAATAAATAATGAAAATCTCTCCTCCAATTTTAAAGTCGACTAGACTGGCAATAATTTATTTAAAAAATTAGTTAAATTACAACGTTTCGGCTGTCATTGCAGCCCTTTTCAAGTAATCAGATTAAAACAATAAATCAAATTTACAGCAAACCCCCGACAAAATTAACCATTGTTTTGATGAACAATGTATAACTGACAGAAGTGAGCACAAAAAAAAAAATAGATGTTGACTGTTAGCAGGAAACTTAGTCACTGTGACTAAGTTTCCTGCTAACAGTCGACATCTATTTTTTTTTTTTCGTGCTCACTTCTGTCAGTTATACATTGTTCATCAAAACAATGGTTAATTTTGTCGGGGGTTTGCTGTAAATTTGATTTATTGTATTAATCTGATTACTTGAAAAGGGCTGCAATGACAGCCGAAACGTTGTAATTTAACTAATTTTTTAAATAAATTATTGCCAGTCTGGTCGACTTTAAAATTGGAGGAGAGATTTTCAATACTTATATTTATTGAATCTGTTTTTTTTATAAAATGTTTTATTATTATCATATATAATATAAATTATTTAATTATTTTTTAATTTTTTTATGAGTAATTTAATTTGTTCTAGTTATTTTTGTACGAGAAAAATACTATCACGGGTATACGTTTTATAACGAATTAAATATATTTATGTTCAAAAATTATATTTGACCTTTAATTTTAATTTTGTATTTTATTAAAATTAATAATTAACATATATACTTAATTGCGAATTATATGGATGAACAAAATCCCTATTATGTGTGTAAGAGATTTCGGAACTCTTTGCTAAAATAATTAAAATTAAAAGTCAAATATAATTTTTGAACACTTTTATATTATTAAAAATATATAATTCGACTCTCGAAATATATTAATTCATTATAAAACGTATACGTATTAGTATTTTTCACATATTAAAATAATTAGAATAAATTAAATTAATTATTAAAAAACTAAAAATTAATTAAACGACTTAGACTTAGATGATAATAATAATGAAACATTTATTAAAAAATAATTATAATAGGTCAGGTTAATATTTTATTTATTTATTTATTTATAACATCATAAAATTCTGTCCTTTCCGAAATACGCGAACGCTACGAAAAGATAAATCTCGTACATGCCGCCGGACGAGTTCATGAGCATGAGACGCTCTTATCTTGGGAACGTATTAATAGTTACTGCATTGACCACTACTACGATATGGCGCTGAAATCAGTGAGAAATGCTGGTCTCTCCTTCATCCAGACCTTTGGCGATCTGTCTATTAATCTGTGTTACAGCAAAGTTGCAGCTTTCGTATCAAGAATTGCATTTTCTTTGCAGTAGATTCATTATGGGATTATGCAATATCGAATGTGTAGAAAGAATAGCGCAATATCTTGACGTTCCTTCGAAAAGGCTAGAGATTTCTAATAAAATGTGAGCATTATTTTATTATAATTTTTATCATAATTTACTTACTAATTATTATAATTTATTAAAAGAAAACATATAATTTATTGCAATTTACTAAAAATAGTTTATTATAATTTACTTATAAAATTTAGAAAGCATATCTAAAGCTCGATAACTTTATTCTCATATATATATATATATATATATATACATGTATATATAATTCAAATTAATTGTTAAGATTTAATTAAATTAAATTAAATTGTTAAAATATTAAAATTAATTAAATTGTTAAAACTTAATATTCCACAAAATTTTCTTGCATCGAGTTAAAAATTAACAAATTTTTATAAAATTTATTGAAATAGTCACATATGTGATGTTGTTCCAGGTTGTAGTACTTATTCCAGAATCTGAGAAAAATTCACCACTCATTCAAGGCTTCAGTACTGTTATACAAGCGCTAGTAGCAAAGTCTAAATGCTCAGATTTGCTCTGTGGTGAGAAAGAAGTGCAGGCTCTGACGCAACAATGGTTAGAGTATGTCGCAGTATGCGTCAATCATGCTGACCTTTCTATCAATGCCAAGAGAGTATTAAATGTAATGTCACAATACATTTATACTTGAGGTAGACAACAAATAGAATATACATATGCTTTCTGTGATTGTAGGAATTAAATATAGTATTGAAAGATGTACCATATATAACTGGTACAGAGAAGACTATTGCAGATGTCACGTTGTACTACATCTTGCACTCTATCATGGTAATAATTATTATTATATATTATATATTATTATATATTATTATTATTATATATTATATATATATATAATTATTAATATATACAGGGTATATCATAGGAAATTACTGAAACTGTCATTTTTAGCTGTTATTATTTTAATGCATGCAGTTATTGAAAACAAAAATTGTCGGAAAGAGAAAAGTCTGCAGTTTTTAATGAATATAAATAAAATGTTTGTATACCAATTTATTTTATTAATAAAAGTAATGAAAAAGTGCCAAATTTGATGAGTTTTTGTAAAAGAACAGAATTTTGTACAAATTTAAATGGTGTGACTTTGAAAATATTTATCATTAGTTTACATATGTGATTATTAGCACTTTTTTCAGTGCTTTTTTTAATAAAATAAACTGGTATACAAACATTTTATTTATATCCATTAAAAACTGTAGACATTCTTTTCAGCACAATTGTTGTTTTCTCAATAATTGCATACATTAAAAAATTACAGCTGATTAGTTTGAGCAATTTTCTATGGGACTGTATTTAATATCATGGTAATGATTATAATCAATATATATATATATATATATATATATATATATATAAAAACACATTGTTTTTTTCAAGTTTTGAACAATGATAATCTGTATAACTTTCATATCCCTTGCTTTTTTTTATAGAAAGAATTAAATCGACAAGAGAAAGCTCAATACATACATGTATCGAGATGGTTTGACAATATTCAGCAAGAAGAGAGGTTGAGACGAGATTTGGATATGATATCTTTTAATTTATTACACCTATTTCTGTAATATAAATCGACATTTTAAAAGAGGTAAATGATTAGTTTGACTTTTATATTTTGATAAAAATATAATTGTTTGATGCTCTTTTATCTGAAAACAAAGCTTTGAAAAGTAAAAATTATTACTTGATAATATAAAAAGATTTTTAACAAATTGGAGAATCTCATATAGATGAAATACAATAATATGAGTCAATGTGATAGAAAAAGTGATATAAAAATTTAATATTTAGTAGATTTGTTGTTTCTATCAATTATATTTATATTCAAAGCAAGATCCGAAAAAATTTTATTACAATGAATAAAATTCATATTCCAAAAACTTGTTTGTTGTGACAAATGGAATATCAGTATAGATTATTTAAAAAATGATATTGATACATTTAATTTATGGTAATCTATTACGACTTATTATGACGATATAATTTACAAAAATTCATAACTTTATTTATATATACATTTTATTATATGCATATATATAAATGTACAAAAGGCAAAGTATCTCAAAATACATTTGTTGAAATTTGTTTGAGCAGCAGTGAATGCATCTTTAATTGAAAGGACTTAATTAAAAGGTTTCTAATTGCTAATTAGCTAGTTGAACACTAAAACTCTCTGAATAATTGACTGTGTTGATTTTCATAGGCATTGATGTTAATTTGAAACAAAATTTTTATCACAAATAAGTTGAAGATTTCGTATCAACATACTATTTCAATCATTTTAGTAATAATACTACTTCATCTTAATTTATTATCTATAAATAGAGAAAGTTATATGAAAGAGGTAATTATATGTAATATAATTATATTTAGTATAATATACACATATAAAAAATCATTTGAAGTGATAGCATTTCAGAATATCCCTAATATTCAAGTAGCTAATTAGTAATGTGGTCTATTCAGTGTTTGCTGTTATCTAAATAAAATTATATAAATGATCATCTAGATGAAACTTTAGCGTCATCTTATCTTTATACAGATAATGAAAATATATTATCTATGTCTGCATTTTAAATGAAAAAAAGTATTATCTTTAAATATCTAAAATAATTTTCAGATAATTTTGGTTCAGAATCATATAGTACATAAAAATACTTAAATAGTAGAACTTAAGCAGTAAGCGATAAAAATTTATAAATAAAAGTACATACATGAATACATATATTTTTATATCTCTTTTATAATTTACATTTTTTTATAACTATTTATACTGTACTGTATTTACATCCTATTTTCTTTAGAAACAAAATTATTATTCCATTATTCGGCTGCTTTACTTTCATTTGATACTAATTATTTTTTTTATATATATTATCTATTTTAATAGTAATAATAATTTATCATTCAAATAAGGTCTCGTTTACAATAAGTGATTGAAGCTTAACTGTGATTGGTCAATTTCTCAATTACTTATTGTGAACCAGGCCTAATTAATATGTCCTTGTATGTATATAGCACAGCATCATTAATGGTTTTCTCACAAAGTATCGCAAAACTGACTAAAAATTACAAAAATAAGCAAATTTATTAAAAAATTTATAATTATATTCTAAACCTCTAATTGTAAGTAAATTCGTTTATTTTTATAATTCTCCAATTTGATAATACACAATCAACCCTCTGAAAGTTTTTTCAGCTGGATGCACTATAGTTCAAAATTTATCTTGATCTTTCAAATGTGTAGTAAAGAAGATAAATTCTGAACTAGTGCAACTAGTTTGGAGTTTATTTCTTTCCTTCCAAAAGAATAGACCTAAGAGAGACCTTTTCAGCTGAACTAGCTGCACTAGTTCAGAGTTCATCTTCTTTCCTCCACATTTGAAAGAAAGAGATAAACTCTGAGCTAGTGCATCCAGTTCAGCCGAAAAGAGCACGATGCGACCAATGGTTGGTAACGTTAGCGCTCTTCAATTATCTCCAGACTGGATGAGATGGAACATTTGTCGATGACGGTGCAGAGGAGGAGCACATAAATCTCAATCGCGTCTGCTTTATTCGTGCTCGTAACCATGCCACATCGTTTTTTTAACGATCATCGCTTCATTCAGCAGGCGCGAGATATGGCTCATCTGCGATAAACTTTACCGCACAAAAACTATATACAGAAACAATAATGACACCGCGTGACAGGTGATTAAAAAGGGGCGCAGGGAGACATTCTAGCGACATTCCCACGCTATTATCCGGCAACCGATCGTTATGCGTGCATACATACGCGCGATGGGTCGCTTCTCCGCGAATGTGGAAGCGATGCTTCGCGTTCATGAGAAATGCTGAGTCTTTCACGGTCGCTGCGCTCAGTAACGCGTTGTGCGCAGGCACAACACACATCGTCGTGGGCATTTGTCCATAATTTCGCAGACAGTAGCCGCCTTGCTTTCGATACGAACCGTTTGTACCTCTGCCTCGGCGCGGCAGTTCTGGCCTAATTGTGGCCTAATAGCCAAGAGCTGTCCCTCTCGACTCCTGCCTCAATAATTAGACCTAACGAGATGGCGGACGATTCGAGCGTACGTGTTGCCGTACGGTAAGTAAATAAATATGTATAATGTATAATGTACATTTTGACAGAAAGAGCCGAAAGTTAGGCTCCAATCCGCGTTTCGGTCTATCCCAATAAGCAACTCAAAGACCCGATTGATATTGATGACGTTTGAGGATATGAGAATAATATTTTCACTCTTTTGAAGAGCAAAATTGTTACGATTATGTTATTTTGTATTTTATTTAATTAATTAATTAATTTTGTTTTAAATATTTCTCATTCTAACGTTTCCTATATCGAAATTATTACCTCACCAGAGAAAAAAAGTGTCTCGCGTTACTCATCCCATATCACGTAATAGTGCAATTTCCGAGTATTAAATTTGAGAATAATTTTCTTTGTCATCGCACACGCACACACTGACAGGAAAATATAGAGAAGATTTTTTTCTCGCATGAAGAAGTCTGAATATATCAAACTCGAGCACCTGACCGATATTGCGCGAATACCGATCTCCAAACATCTCCTTTTACGACACGAATGCGTGGGCCTTTAATTACTAACTTGCCTTAAGAAAACACGCGTCAATTTCCGAGATCGATAGGCGCAACTGACTTTTAAATTGTAAAAAAATTTATAATATATCATTTTGTTTTTATAATATTTTATATATTTTTTAAATTAATAATTTATAAATTAATAATATAAATTGATAAATGCACCGAAATACAAATAGATTAATCGGAGAAAAAATAAGATATAGATTACTCAGAAGATAGAGGAAATCAAGGCCAAAAAAGGGGGATATAATAGATTTATATATATTATTCATAAGCTATATATAGGGTGTAATTAAAGGAACATATATACAGTGCACACCATCAAATTCTTTGGTCAATTTGGAGACGATTTTTCCGCAGTGAAAAAGTCGAGGCATCAATAATTTTCAAATTATCAAGAGCTTTTCACAAATTAAACTTTGTATATTTAAAATCTTAACAAAACTATATTTTTTACTCAAGTAGCAAATAACGTACGTCATTTTGACGTCGAATGACGTTATTAGACATTTTAGAGTTTACTTTAATAGAATTTTAATTTAAGGCTTAGTTACAAAAATACGAGTTTTCAAAAATTAGAAACATGTAAAAAATGATAACTGATTACACTGAGGAAAAATCATTTTTCCAAATTGGCTACAGAATCTGATGACGTTCATAATGTTTTTTCAGTTGTACCTTGTATAGAATAATAATAATAATTAATTATTATTTATTTTTTATTACACCATAAGGACTTCTTATCTAAATAAAATTATATATAGATGATTATTTAGATGAAATTTTGACGTCATCTTATCTTTATATAGATAATAAAAATATGCATTATATCTATACCTGATGACATTCATATATGTTTTTTCAGTTGCACCTTGTATAGAATAATAATAATTATTATTATTATTATTAATTATTATTTATTTTTTATTACACCACACAAGAACTTTTTATCTAAATAAAATTATATAGATAATCATCTAGATGACATTTTGACGTCATCTTATCTTTATATAAATAATAAAAATATGCATTATATATATCTGCATCTTATTGTTAGATGAAAAAAATTTACTAAATTATCTAGAGTAATTTTCAAATAATTTTGGTTTAGAATCAAGCACATAAAAATACTTAAATAGTAGAGCCTAAGTGGTCTTAAAAATAATATATTATCTGAAAGTTATCTATGAATTGCTATATGTATAATTTTATCTTTTATCTAGATATATTTAAATTCAAAATTATCTTTATTTTATCTAACAAATATTTTCATCTCATCTTTATTCAGCTAATTTGAAAATCATCTAAGCACAACACTGATGAGGCTCAATTGTTTGTTGCAGGATAAGGCCTCAGGTAGCTCGCGAAGTGATCGACATGTGCAGGATTTGTACTCAAGTACCTCAAGGGGAGCCGCAGGTTTTCCTCGGACCCGACAAGGCCTTTACTTACGATTACGTTTTTGATACTCAATCGGATCAGGGGTCGATTTACGAAACGTGCGTGAATCGTCTCGTGGAAGGCGCGTTGGACGGATACAACGCGACTGTCTTCGCCTACGGGCAGACCGGTTCGGGCAAAACTTACACCATGGGCACCGGTTTCGACGTCGAAGTCGACGAAGATATAATCGGAATCATCCCCAGAGCCATCGAGCACCTCTTCAACGGGATAGTGGATAAGCAGGAACGCGCCAAGGAACGCGCGCAAATGCCTCCGGAGTTCAAGGTATACAGAATATCTAACATAAGGTGTCACATCGAAAATATACAAGTGCATTCTGTTATTGGAGACAATGTTTCCTCAGTAAAAATATTGAGGCATCCATAATTTTCGAGTTATAAGCAATGTTTGCTGTTATCTAAATAAAATTATATAGATGCTCATCTAGATGAAACTTTGGCGTCATCTTATCTTTATATAGATAATAAAAATAGGTATTATCTATATCTATGTGTGTGCGTCTTAGATAAAAAAAAGTATTATTTTTACTAAATTATCTAGAATAATTTTCAGATAATTTTGATTTAGACACATAGCATATAAAAATATTTAAATAGTAGAACTTAAGCAGTAAGCGTTAAAATTTATAAATATGAATATATATTTTTATATTCCTTTTATAATTTACATTTTTTTATAACTGTGTTTACATAAGTAGTCTTAAAATTATTATCTAGAAAATTATCTAGATGAATCACCATATAATTTTATCTTTTATCTAGATGTATTTAAAACAAAATCTTTATCTTATCTAAGATGAATTTACATATTTTTATCTCATCTTTATCTAGCAAATTTTAAATAAATTATCTAAGCAGAACACTGGTTATAAGCGATTGAAAATAAGGGATTTATCGCAAACTAAGCCCTGTGGAAATAAAATATTAACAAAACCATATTCTCCAATTAATATTAAGTAGTTTACTTTAATAAAATTTTAATTTAAGGTTTAGTTATAATGATATGTGATGGCAAAAATTTGGAACATGCAAAAAATGATGGCTTTTCTCGACATTTTTGCTGAGGAAAAATCGTAAAAGGAGTTTATCTTTTTCCTTTCAACGTTGAATAAAAAAGATAAACTCTGACCTAGTGCAATCAGTTTGGCTAAAATGAACAGACTTATAATGACTACAGGGTGTTTGCTCTCTGGAAAACCGAGGATTGTCGCAATTTTTTTTCACTTTGAAAAATCCGGAAATTCTCGTGGAATTTTATTGAGACTCGGAAATTTTTAAAAAAATATGCCTTTGATTTTACTCTTATACGCTCATATCTTGGAAATAACTTATGCAAAAAACATGAATAAGTAGTGTTTTACATGACTATGTATTGTAATAAAAAATGGGGGTTCTATTTAAGAAAACATCAATGATCTTCATCTGACATTCAATAGGTCACTCAAGGTTAAGTTCATATTTTCATCATCTGTCCCCCTTCAAGTCCTATAACTTTCGTCTAAAACATTTTTCCATATCAAAAGCTGTTTGCAAGATAAAGAGTTTGGGTCGGACTTTAGAGACACCCTATATGTATATTAGAGCAAGAAATCGATAATTTGCTAATTTATTAATTTAGCAATCGTATATATAATTGTTTTTTTTGTAATTATATGAATAGAAAACATTAGAAAGCGCATATGCTAGAAGAAAACTTATATTGAAAAGTTGCTTTTACAAATTTTCTTATTTTATCTGGATCTCTGAATGATGTTCTTACATTTCCAATCAGCCAAATCTGTTCTAACAGATTTTGTCAAGTGCTAGCTATAAATTATTTTAGCAAAAAAACTACAAATTTGCACGCATTTTAGTTATATTAAATTTATAATAAAACAGTGTTGACTTTTTCGCTGATCGATCTGTTGAAAAAAGTCCAAAAAAGGAATCAAACCGTCCAAATTAGAGGTAAATATGCAGTATAGGGGATGCCACTCGGATGATCTTGACCTTGACATATGTTGTCAAGGTCGTGACTGAACAACCTCCAAAAAGTTTTAGAAATTAAATAAAGAAGAATTTAAAATAAGTTTATTGTGCTCAACCTGTCTGGTTCTTAACTCTATCTGAATTGATGTTTATATATTTTTTTCCTTGTCATCAGGTTACAGCGCAATTCCTGGAATTATATAACGAGGACTTAAAGGACCTCCTGGAGCCGGGAGGGCCGAGAGGCGGTGCGCGTATCCACGAGGACACAGCGGGTAACATACACCTGGCCGGAGTGGAATCGCGCGTGGTCACCAGTCCCGAACAAGCGCTGGAGTATCTGCGATTAGGCGCGCTGTCCCGCACAACGGGATCCACGCAGATGAACACGCAATCCTCGAGGTCGCACGCGATATTCACGCTATACATCAAGCAGCAGAGATGCATCAAGGTCGAGGACCCGGACGCGGATGTCGACACAAGCGGCGCCGAGCTGACGAATGAATTTGAAACGCTGACCGCCAAATTTCACTTCGTCGACCTGGCCGGCTCCGAGAGGCTCAAGAGAACCGGCGCCACCGGCGAACGAGCGAAGGAAGGCATCTCCATAAACTGTGGATTGGTAGGTATTTCTAAAAAAAAAAAAGAGGAAAAAAGGAAAAATTGCCCTTCCTTTAGAAGCCAGTGTTTGCTGTTATCTAAATAAAATTATATAGATGATTATATAGATGAAATTTTGGCATCATCTTAACTTTACATAGATAATAAAAATATGTATTATCTATATCTTAATCTTACATAAAAAAAGTGTTATTTTTACTAAATTATCTAGAATAATGTTCAGACAATTTCAGTTAGAGCACATAAAAATACTAAAGTAGTAGAACAAGCAGTAATAAAAACTTATAAATAAAAATATAAATTTTATATCCTTTTTATAATTTACATAAATTTTGTTATAACTGTGTTTACATAAGCGGTCTTAAAATTAATATTATCTAGAAATTATCTAGATTGCTATATAATTTTAGCATTTATATTAGCACAAAATCATCTTGATCTTATCTAAGATGAATTTACATATTTCATCTTATCTTTATCTAGCTAATTTTAAAATTATCTAAACACAATACTATTTAGAGGAAGTTTTACATTTTTCATCTTCACAGTTGGCGTTGGGTAATGTCATTTCCGCTCTCGGTGATAAGACGAAAAAAGCCTCGCACATACCATACAGAGACTCAAAATTAACCAGATTACTTCAAGATTCTCTCGGAGGTAACGCAGTTTATAATATAATATAAAATGTTTTGAATATACAGAGTGATTCATTTTAATCACCCCAGGCAAATATTTCAAACTCTATGTCACCTTTAATTTCATAAATAAAACTTACTATTTTTTAATACATCTGTTTTCTTTACACTAATTGATTAATCTCGTTATTCCATGCATAAAAGTATTAAAGTAAAATTACCGAAAACTGAATATTTTACATTTTATGTCAAAAAATTGTTAAGTTCAAGCCTTATAATTCGAAAAGTACTTAATGAAAAAATATTTTATTATAGTATTTTGAAAAACTCTCAAGCTATAAAAATATGTATTAAAAAATAGTAGGTTCTATTTAAGAAATTAAAGGTGACCTTCAAATGATTATACAAGGTCAAACCAATAACATCATCTTATGTAAGTCAAAAAACTTGTTTGAAACATTTTTTTTCATATCTCATAGTTTTAGAAATATTTGCCTGGAGCGATTAAATGTACATATCTGATTTAACGTTTGCAAAACTTGAAACATTCCAATTAAATATTACAGGAAATAGTCAAACTGTTATGATAGCGTGCGTATCGCCGAGTGATAGAGATTTTATGGAAACCCTAAGTACTCTAAAATATGCGAATCGAGCGAGAAATATAAAGAACAAAGTTACTATCAATCAGGACAAGAGTTCGCGAACAATCGCTTCGTTACGACGAGAAATTCAACAGCTTCAACTGGAATTGATGGAATACAGACAAGGTAAGTTCAAGACAGAAAATTGGTACATAATGTTAGCTGAAGATTATACAATAATAACAAAATATATTCCCTTTTTCTTCCTCTTAGGCAAAAGAGTCGTTGGTGAAGATGGTGTCAACGATGCCTGGCATGAAAATCAGATGTTGAACAGCGAATTGCAGAGTTTGCGAACCAGAGTGAAAGCGCTTTCGGAAACGGTTGAAGCTTTAACTGCCAAGAATGTTCTCTTACTGGCAGAGAAGGCAGCAGGTCAGTGGGTAGCTGCAATAAGTGGAGGTGACGAACAGGTGACTAGTTTGGTACAAGGTTACGTTCAAGAAATAGAAGAGTTGAGAGCTCGTCTATTAGAAGCTGAAGCTATGTATCAGCAATTAAAGAAGAGACAGATGCAGGTATATTTATACATTAGATCAAGTTCTAAGGTTTTAAAAGATGTAAGATTGGGGTGGCACCCAATTGGACACATTAGGTTTGCTCTTTTCAGTTCAACTGGCTGCACTAGTTTAGAATTTATGTTTTACTCTACATTGGAAGAAAAGAGGTTAATTCTAAACTAGTGTAGCCAGTTCAGCTGAAAAGAACAGACCTATTGCTTATTGGTCAATTAAATACAGGATTCTTTGATTGAACACCAATAGATATGAATGATTGTATCAACCTGTGTCCAATTAGGTATCTCTTTAGGATTTTAAAGTTTTCTGACTGATGTATTAACGAAATATATTTATATAATAATTAGGTTAGCGCAGCAAATCCATATGGGGACAGTTCATTCCATTCTGATTCTGCATCTGTGTTAATCGATGCTAAAAGGGATGTCAAAAAAGAGATAGAAACGCTGAAAGCCTTGAAGGAACAACACAGTGGTAACGTTACCGCCAAATCAGACGAAGGAGAAATCGACGTTACGGAGAATGCGCAGGATTCTGCAAGCGAGGACGATTCCGATGATGACTCGGATCGTAAAGGCACGTTTAAATGTTTCATTTTTTTGTACATATACAAGGATTTTAAGAAATACTTTGTTTACTAAATTTCAATTTTTTCTCCGAAATTTGGAGAAAAAATAAAAACCTAATTTTTATCTCTCCCTTTAGAAAAGTATAATTTTTCAAGAAAGAATGTAAAAGTATATATTTATGTGAAATACTTAAGAAATTTGTCCAAGTATTTTATAAATACTTTTTGTAGTATTGTGATAGCAATATTTAACAAGTATGAAGGAACACGAAAATATTTTTCTACACAAGCTATCTATTTCTATTCCACGTAGCAAAACTGACGTCATTAAACGTCATTTTGATGTTTGATGTCGTCATTTTGACATCGATAACGTCATTTTGACGTTGATGACGTCATTTTGATGTTTAATGACGTCAGTTAGCTAGCTGGGATTACATTAGATATACTTTTACAGAAGAAGATGAAGAAGAAGAGGCTATGGGTCGCGAACTAGAGGCGTTGACATCCAACATTGATGTTAAACAGCGTCTGATACAAGAGCTCGAGCTCTCTCAGAGACGTTTGCAGACTATGAAGCAACATTACGAGGACAAATTGGCTCAATTGCAGACTCGTATAAAAATACGCAGGAGGAAAGGGATAAAGTGTTGCTTTCCTTGCAACAGCAACCCATACCGCCTACGGAAAAGGTGAAGAAATTACGGGACGAGTACGAGAAGAAACTCTCGAACATGCAGAAGGAGATGCGACTCCTTCAATCCGCTAAGAAGGAGCACGCGAGGTTGCTGAAGAACCAGTCACAGAACGAGAATCGATTGAGGGGTCTGAGGAATGAACTCTCGGAGATGAAGCGGGCGAAGGTGAAGCTGTTGAACAAGATGCGGGAGGAGGCGCAGCGGCACAAGGAAAACGAGCTGAGACGCAACAGAGAGATCGCTCAATTACGCAAGGAGAGTCGCAGGCACGCGAATGTGATCAGAACACTGGAGGCGGACAAGAGGATGAAGGAGGTTGTGCTTAGACGTAAGCAGGAGGAAGTGACGGCTCTGCGAAAGCGAGACCGAGGATTGAGTCAGAAGGCCGCGGGTCGTGCACCGGTCAGACCGCTCAATCCTAAAGCGCTGAAGCAAAGGTGGCAGACCTTCGAGAGGACCATCACCAAGCAAGCATTGGCGAAGCAAGCCGTCGCGGAGACGGAGAGGGAGATGGAGAGGCTGCTTCAGGAGAGGGAAGAGTTGGGAAGGGATCTGGAGAGGCTCCAGAAACATAGAAGTCAAATAACGACTGCCAGAGGCGACACCAGCGACGTAGACGAAGAGTCGACAATGTGCGGAGCAAAATCAGTTATTTGCAGGTAATAATTAATAATGACGATTTTTTTAAAGTTATGCTAGATGATTTTAGCTAGATAAAGATGAGATTAAAATTATGTAAATTTATTATGTTAAATAAAGTAAAGATAATTTATTTTAAATATATCTAGATAAAAGATAAAATTATATGGTGATTTATCTAGATAATTTTGTAAATAATAATTTTTAAGATTGCTTATGTAAACACAATTATAAAAAATGTAAATTATAAAAGGAATATAAAAATATATTCATATTTTTATTTATTAATATGAATATATTTTTATTTCTAAGTTTTTATTGCTGACTGCTCAAGTTCTACTATTTTTATGTATTATGACTCTAAACCCAATTATTGAAATTATCTGAACATTATTCTAGATAATTTAATAAAGATAATCTAACAATAAGACGCAGATATAAAGATAATATATATATAGATATATTTTTATTTATCTAAAGATTATAAAGGTAATAAAAATATCTAAGATAAGATAAAGATAAGATGAAGATAAGATAAAGATAAGATGATGATTATTACAAATTTATTTAGATTATATTCTATATAATTTAATTTAGATAACAAACAAATTGAACATTATTCTAGATAATTTCCATATGCAGATATAGATATTATATTCTTATTATCTAAAGATAATAAAAAGAATAAAGATAACTTATCTAAGATAAGATAAAAATAAGATGACTAAGATTTATCTCTCTAGATGATTATCTCTATATTTTATTTTAATGACAAACACACACTAGCGATTGTTTTATTCATTTTGCTGCTATACTTTCTTTTTTTCTTAATTTATACTTAGGACAGTATCTCGGAATGTCAACGTGATATGTCGAAATGGCGACGGTGAGGCGGAAGGTGAACCCGGTGTCGAGGCGCTCATCTCCACGATTCGTACAGTGGACGAAGCGCATACTTGCTACAGCGAATGCTTGCGTTTACCGTAGAGCAGAGCTGTGTGCGCGCAGAAGCAGCCGAGGTGCGGGACATGGAGCGAGGCTGAATCAGGTCGCCCAGGAGAGAACGACGTGCAACATTCAGTTGCTCGAGCAGTTTTACGCGATCGCGATCTCCTGTCTCTCACCAATAATCAGAATAATATATCGACTTACAGTTCCAGCCAGCTCGAGAAGCTTTCTACCAGACAAGTGAGTCGAATAAAGCATCAAACTATGTCATTATTTCGAGATAATAATTATAATATAATGTATATAATTTTATTAATATTTAATATAATAATATAATATAATATAATTAATATAATTAATATAGATATACAAATGTAATATAAAAAACAGATCCTTTAATTTAAATAATTATATCATAGCATAGGAATCTAAAACGCAGTTAGAGAATAGCGTGAACAATTTCAAATTTATTCTTACGTATCAATTAAATATAATAACGACGAACGTTTTCGACCGATTTTTCAATCATCTTCAGCATCTTGTACATTATTACGCCTAACAAAAACAAAAGTAAATTATCTAAGATTTTCCGTTTTAAATTCCTTACCATTGATATAATAATTAATATAAACTTAATATAATTTTAATATAATTTTATATAATTTTTTAAGCCAGCGTGTAATCAAATATAAGAGTTTTAACAAGGCTCTGTAATATAAATATAAATTTAACGTATAAGACGGGCAACAAGAGCCAAATCGCGGATGACAATGCGTTATCTAACGAAACTAAATAATTTTTCGTTAGAATTAAATACCGGTGCACAAGGCACCAAATTTTACTTGGACACGGCAAAGATTTTAAATATGAAATAATCTCATATTTTGAGATTTAATTTCAATACCCCTAACCCCCCTACGGAAATAATAAATGAATGCAAGAGAAAATATAGATCCGAAAATCGCTGAATCGGGAATCGAACCCGAGACCTTTCGCTTGCCGGGCGACTGCTCTTCCAGCAGAGCTATTCAGATCCTTTCGATTCTATACTTTTCTCTGTTATATATATTAATGTTGGTAAACAAAAAACGCATTTTTAAGCCAGCGTGTATCAAATATAAGAGTTTTAAAAAGGCTCTGTAATATAAATATAAATTTAACGTATAAGACGGGCAACAAGAGCCAAATCGCGGATGACAATGCGTTATCCTAACGAAACTAAATAATTTTTCGTTAGAATTAAATACCGGTGCACAAGGCACCAAATTTTTACTTGGACACGGCCAAGATTTTAAATATGAAATAATCTCATATTTTGAGATTTAATTTCAATACCCCTTTAACCCCCCTACGGAAAATAAATAAATGAATGCAAGAGAAAAATATAGATCCGAAAATCGCTGAATCGGGAATCGAACCCGAGACCTTTCGCTTGCCGGCGAACACTGGCTACACGCTGGCTTAAAAAAAATCGTTTGTTTACCAACATTAATATATAACAGAGAAAGTATAGAATCGAAAGGATCTGAATAGCTCTGCTGAAGAGCAGTCGCCCGGCAAGCGAAAGGTCTCGGGTTCGATTCCCGATTCAGCGATTTTCGGATCTATATTTTTCTCTTGCATTCATTTATTAATATTTTCCGTAGGGGGGTTAAAGGGGTATTGAAATTAAATCTCAAAATATGAGATTATTTCATATTTAAAATCTTGGCCGTGTCCAAGTAAAAATTGGTGCCTTGTGCACCGGTATTTAATTCTAACGAAAAATTATTAGTTCGTTAGGATAACGCATTGTCATCCGCGATTTGGCTCTGTGTTGCCCGTCTTATACGTTAAATTTATATTTTATATTACAGAGCCTGTTTAAACTCTTATATTTGATACACGCTGGCTTAAAAAAATGCGTTTGTTTACCAACATTAATATATATAACAGAGAAAAAGTATAGAATCGAAAGGATCTGAATAGCTCTCTGGAAGAGCAGTCGCCCGGCAAGCGAAAGGTCTGGTTCGATTCCCGATTCAGCGATTTTCGGACTATATTTTTCTCTTGCATTCATTTATTTATTTTCCGTAGGGGGGTAAAGGGGTATTGAAATAAATCTCAAAATATGAGATTATTTCATATTTAAAATCTTGGCCGTGTCCAAGTAAAAATTGGTGCCCTTGTGCACCGGGATTGAATTGGAGTGAACGAAAAATGGATTAGTTTCGTTAGGATAAAGCAATTGTCAGACGCGATTGGCTCTTGTTGGCCCGGCTTATACG